TTCGCGCGTGCTTGCTGTCGTCGCTGGGCGTCGCTTGTAGGGCCTGGCGATGCGCGGCTGCTTGCGGTAGCGAGTGGCTACGCTCGGCTGGGCTCGGGCGACTTTGGGCAATCTCTGGCAGTGGCTCACGGCGGCGGACGGCGGCGATGAGGTGAAGAAGATGGCCAAAAAATATACGTAATAAAAGGCTCGAATATATTGTACCCAAAAGCCTTCTAATGGATTACCTAAACACCTACTTCAAATTAACTTGGTGGAGCGTTTAATCGAATCTCCCTAACTCTCGAACAATGCTGTTTCTCACGTATGTAGGAGTAAAAAATTGGCCAGCATCAACTTGTAGGAGAGATTGGGACATAGTGTATTTATAGGCTCCATTAGGGACCTTAAGGAGGTGCTAAATATGGGCTTATCCCATTAGACCTAGGAATCCTAATTCTACTCCAATTACTAATCCAATGTAGGAAAGAAATCTACTACTAATCTACCTCTTCTAGAAGACTCATTAGTCTCCTAACACTAGAGAAGATTCTAGTAGGATTACTTTTCCTAATTAAATTAGTACTTATGGAATAAAATTAATTCCTAATTAGAAAACCTAATTCTACTCCAATTAATAATCCAATGTAGAAAATATTTCTCCCACTAATCTTCATCTTCTAGAAAACTCCTTAGTCTCCTAACACTATAGGAGATTCTAGTGGGAATATTATCTTCCTAATTAAATTAATTAATATAGAATAAAATTAATTTCTATTTAAATGGAATTAAATAATAAAACATCCCACTAGAGTAATATTATTGCTCTCCACATTTAGCCACTATTTTACCAGTAAAATCGAGCCTCCATGGCTAAATAATTTTAGTCCAGTTGATCGATTTAAATCCATATGTTTAAGATATAACATCCGTTGATTAATTAAATTACTGACAAAATAATTAATCAACTTCTTATTCATTTCCGAAGTTAGTACCACTCAAAAGCTTAACCATTATTTCAGACAATCGTCTACCTGCAGGGTTTAACATAATGTACATTCCTAAGTTCATTTCGGGGACGCCATCAACCCAGTGCACTGGAACATAGTGACCATAAATAATTTATAATAGCACATCATATAATTATTCTTACTTACCAAATTACCTTGTATGTCATCCTAACAAAATAAGAATCACTTGGTAAATCAAATAAATAATAGATAAATATATATGCATATTTTATATTATCTTACAGCTTAAGAGAATGCATCAATCACTGAAGGTCTAGGTTAAAACAATGATCAGTGAGTCTCATAACCTTATCCTTCCGTGATCCTGTTCAACACATAACATAAGTGCTAGTGTAATTCTTCAGTCAAAGACCAACTGAATCAAGAATACACTACAGTCTTTTTCCAAGAGGGGTCTCACTGTCTGTCTAGACTGTGAACGGATAGTTTAGTCTTATAAGGAACTGATAGGTGATCTTTCTGTTCAAAACACTTCGAACCACACTATCTCAATATAAGACATGGAGTATGATTTGCATAAATAAATAAACTGCAAACATATGTACCTTGACTGAAACATGATGGCTAAATAAAAATGGAATCGATAGAATCTGCAAAACATAGCTTTTACAGCATATCTCTAACAGCTTGTCGGGCGTAGGTGTTAGTTTGCCTCCTTCAAGGGAGGGAGTCACCTCAGCTCGTATTGACGCACCGAGGTTGGTGTACTTGTTCATCTCCCCCTCTCCCGAGGGGCCGATCTTTCTTTCTGCTTCTCGAAGGACCGACCTCGTCCTGTTGGGCCAGACAGAAAGTAAAGATTTTCTTGTTGTCGCGATGCTGCAGTCTCTTTCTTCGTTGGTGGATGTCGTCGACGTCTTCGTTGTCTGGATTTTCCTCAAAACAACCTTTCTTTCGCTTGTCGCCAAAATGAGTGAACTTCTTCATTTGCGGGTCGTCAATCAGCTGTAGGGGTCTCTAGAGCAGATTGCGGCACTGGTCGGTGTTGGGTCCATGGCCTTTTTGGTAGGAACAATATCTTAACTTGTCAAGTTTGCTCTGATCCGCTTGCATAGGCTTCGTATCGGGGATTAATTCTTTGGTCTTGATCTCTTCGTAGACCACCACCATTCCTACTAAGAAGACGCCCCGATAGCTCTCTGAGTTCCTCGGCTTCCTGCTTTCTTCGATCTCGAACTTCTGCCATGTTCTTGCCCGACTTCGACGACTTCTCGTTCTTGGTCTTTCCCTTGGTCGTCATCCCATCAAGTGTCGGGATCGACATTGATTCCTCTGCCATGAAGTAGTTCTGAGTTGAGTTAGGAATTCCTGGTATGTGCTTGGCTTGTTTTGGAACATGAACCACTTGAACAACGTCTTTGGTTTCAGGCTGACTTGCACGGTCACCAACAGGGTTTTGGGGCGGCATTGTTCTATATTTTGGACTCGGTCGTTCAATCGAGTAATGTAGTCCTTCAGGCTTTCATCGTCTTCCTGGATGATGTGGGTGATGGATTCTCTCGGGGCGAGGTTTATCTGGATCCGATGAAGTGCGAGCGAAATGCCGACCTAAGTTTCCCCATCGAGGAGATGTAGTGGAGGTACAAGGAATGATACCATCTTTATGCCTTTGGCCCCAGTGTCAAAGAGAACATTCGGCACCGTAGAGCGTCTGTTACTTCGTCTAGGTCCATCCACGAGGTGTAGAGGCTGATGTGGGAGTCGGGTATGAGCTTCATTCGTAAAGCCCGAGCTGCGGGACTTTGATCTTTGCAGGCACAACCTCCTGTAAGATGTCCAGAGAGAGGGGCGAAGCATGATCTACAACCCGCGTGGCTGGCTTTGGTGGGGGAGAAAACAACGACCTTCCATGCGGCGTTGGCCGAGCTGCACCTCGGCTATTTTCTGTTTAAGGTCTGTGATCTCATCAGTATTGCGCCTGAAGGTCTTCCCCCGATCGATGACCTCCCTCAAGTCGCGATTTCCCTAGCTTTATTGCCCAAGCGCTGGTACACCAACCAACGAACGACTTGCAGGCTCA